CTTCCAATGGATCTTCATCAATTTTGGTCAATGCGGATTACTTAAACATCATTGATCATTAAATGTTCCCTTGAGGATTTTTAAATGGATAATATACTTGACAAAAAGAAAATGCAACTTGTTGTTGAGAGGCTTTGGTTCTACCAATCCTCTAATGAGTTCCAAATGCAAGTTTCAAGATGGTCATCCAACTAACCATTAACTTCTAACAATTGACTTTATTTTATGCTTTTATTTTATGCTTTTACTTTATGTACCATTTGCTTTAGCATTTACATTTCATGCTATTTTTCATCTTTTCTCACTTGAGCATTTACTTTTATGTCATTTTTATTTTGCTCACTTGAGATTTTCTTTTCTTTTTGAAGATACTTAATAATCAACATGAATCATAAAAAACTTTAATGATACTTGGACTATTTGCTTACTATCCTTGGCATCATGGAGTATTGGACTTCTTGGACTTAGGATTAGAGAGCTTGATCATATGTTGGAGACCTTGTGACCTTAATTGATATTTTGTCTCGAGTTCTTGGGGTTTACCTCAAGACACTGGGTTTCTTGTTTGTTCTATGTGCAGGTTATTGTGATTACATACTTTGTTTGTAATCTCGAATTCACCCGTATACAAACGTTACTCTGCCTAATTTTTATGAAGATTTAATGCAATTAAAGCTTGGTTTTCTCAAGAGGTCTAGTATCTTTGCTTGCTTGGTTTCAATCCAAAGAATGAGAATCCTATCTTGACTCATAATGTCAAGTGTTGACTTCTTGTTGGTTAGATGGTTCTTCTCCTTAGCTTTTACCTTATGCTTTAGGATAGTCCCTTCTTCTCCTTCCATCTTCTTTAATTTCAAAAATCTTCTCCCTCCTTTTGAAAACTCTTCTTGTTTCTAAACTTGAACCACTTTCATAATAAACTTGGACTTAGGTCCATGCATTTTCAAAACATTTTTCATAAATAAACTTTAATCAACTTAACAATACCTTGACATTTTTGTGAGAAGAATAAAAGTCAATTAATCTCATTCAAACCATTTTGCCATTTTGGCTCTTATCTTTAAAATTTTCTCAAAAAGATTAGACTCTTGTCAATCCTTGTAGTGATGCAAACAACTATACTTCTACAATATGTAGTGAAGTGAGATATTTTTCACTTGGGTGTTGAGCGATTGTTGATTTTAAAATTCAAGCCATATCCTCCACTTCGAGATGATGCAAATTCTCCTTTCCCATGATTGTGGGTAGTAAGTATGTTTTCCACACGGACAATGACGATAACGTCTTATCTCATAAAATTAACCAACACACTTGTGTTTTAAAATATTTAAAGAGGAACTACGTGTACCCTGATCCCCTATTGCACGGAAGGTGGTACGTAGGCACTAAAGGTTCGCAACCGCGACGGGTGCAAAAATCATAAAAAATATATTTCTTTTCTCACCTCCACCATCTATTTTATGCAACATTTTATAGCCAAAATATACAGATTTTACAAAGAGATTCTTGCGGAGTACCGTATATATTTAGGATGCTAATACCTTCCCTTTGCATAACCAACCCCCTTACCTTGAATCTTTCCCCCCTCTTTTTGGGTTATTCGCTCTTTTCTCATTCCTTTGGAAACAATAAAGCACGGCGGCGACTTTTATTTTGATCTGTACAAGTCTAGTCAATCCAATGGCTTAGTCTTAAACATTTCTACCGCTACACTATTGTTGCTTCTTGAAGGTTTTGATTTGATTTTTGTGAGATCCTCAATTGATTTATCTCACATATTTGTGCAGATCAAGAAGGGTTATTTTTGGAACATGTAATTTTATCTCCAACTGTGCATTAGTTTCTAAAATTGGATGTTAAGATAATTTAGGAAACTTGGGATGTTTTTGTTCCATATTTCAAGGAGATATTTTCTGCATAATTTGTGCAGCTATCAGTTTGTGGATCTACAATAAATTGAGTGGAGAATTGAAGCCCATGCTAGCCGAGAAGTTTAAAATAAAAAATCTAAGCCTAATGCAAAGTGTGAAAAAATGGGGAGCTGTTATTCAAGAGTCTTTAGAGTTTGAGAGTTTTTCTATTGTGCTTTGTTTTTTATATGTCACTCATGTATCTTGTTTGATGCACTGAGGTTGATTGATTGTTCATTGTTCATTGTGATTCACTCATGAACTTTTAAGTAAAAAGTGTAATATGTTTAATTATAAGTTTGTTCTTTTGTTTTGGTCATTGTTATTATCACCGAGGTGATTGTGGGAAGTGGAGGGAATTCTCTTATCTAGGAGATTCCTAGGTAGAAATTGCAGGGTAGTGATTAGGTGATAAGTTCTAAACTGGGTTGTTTAAGCTTTGAACTAATACTATTATAATGGATTTCCTTCCTAGCTTGGATGCCCCCATAGTAGGTGAAGTTGCATCGAGTTGGGTTAACATTTGATTGTGTTATTTATCTTATGCAATTTACTTTCTACATGATTTATTGTTTTTGTAAATTGCTCTGTCAGTAAGATGATGTCTTAACATCTGTCTTGACTTTGTGTTTTGGTGTTGTGACATCAGTCTTAGCATCTCTCTAGTATACCAGAATTTTAATTGTTAGTTGAGAAATAAATCTAAGTTTTCTCAAAGTTAATCTTTTGACCAGAGGCTTGCTAGAACAGATCCAGCCAATGCTTGATATGATAAGATTATTCTATAGTGGCTTCTACAAAAAGAAAAAGGTCGTTTGCAAACAAGAAATGAGACACATGAGTTCTTGCTCGCGCCCTACACACATAGGCTTTTAAAATCCTTCATCAACCAGATAAACAATAATATGAGAAAAACGATTCATACAAATAACAAATATATAAGGAGATAGATGGTCACTTTGATAAATATCTCTAGACGGGGTAAAGTTATCAAACTAATTTCCATTCCATAGAACTTTGAAAGATGTGGAAGAAATACAATGATAAACTATATTAACTAACTATTCAGGAACTTATAATCTTGAAGAAATTAAGCAACAACATGTCATACACTTTTCCAAAATCAATCTTTATCAATATGAAAATCTTCTTATCCTTTATTCTTTTCATCGCACGCACTATCTCCTAAACTATAATAATGCTATGGTGAATTTTTCTCCCTAAAATAAAACTTTATTATGCAACAAAGATGATATTATTCAAAAGAGTCTTCACATGATTCACATAATCTCAGTAAAAAGTTTATAAACATTACATAGACGATAGCCGCCACAAAGTGAGAAATTCAAGTTATTATATAATTTAGAGTGAGTATCCCATACCCCTCTCTCTCTCTCTCTCTCTCTATATATATATATATATATATATATATATATATATATATATATATATATATATATATATATATATATATATATATATATATATATATATATATATATATATATATATATATATATATATATATATATATATATATATATATATATATATATATATATATATATATATATATATATATATATATATATATATATACACACGCACAAACTATGGCTTTTCCCTTTTTATATAAGGGAAATGCTCATTCCACCCTTATATGAGCATACCACACTTTTGAAAATCCAAATTTGCCATTTAAGAATTCAGAAATACATCTTCAGACACACCCAAAGCCACACCAATTCCCTCTATTATAAGTGTCACCCCAGTTTTGAAAAAGAAAATAGTCCGAAGATGTATCGCCGTATTGTGTTCGGCCAATACCCAAAATGCATCTCCGAAATACCTCATGCATCCATTTAAGTTGTTTTGTTATTCACACAACTTATTTTGAAAATGATTTATTGACATTTTTAGAGATGTATCTCCGGAAATGCCTAGCGGGAAGGTTGATAAAACACCTCCTTGCATGAGCTTCCTCTTCGTGCTTAAGCAAGTTTCTATTGCAAAAACCCTTGAAAAAAATACTCCCATTCTCAAATATCTTTTCAACACTAAAATATTAATCTTGTATTTCGTCACTTCAAAGGGAGCAAAACAAGTTGAAATTGCAGGTAAAAATCATTTGTTTCATCCCTCATTCCTTAATTAATCCATCGTTGAAGTTGAAAAATGAACGTTGAGTCCGGAGATGCATTTTCGGACGAATTTATAGGTTATCCAGAAATGCATCTCTGGATTGTCCTAATAGTTTGAGTTTTCACATATTTTTTCTATTTTTGGTGGTAATAGATATGGTGCACCCATATAGTCCTGATAGTTCTCAAAGATATGATCATCCTATTGTATGCCGCCTTGTTTCGGAGGAGAAAAAACTTGTTTCAAACTGGACACTAGACATGATGGCGCCGAAAAATATAAATGCGTCTTTGAAATGAATAAGATCTCTAAATGTTTCAAATATTAACCAAATATACAACGTGCGTGTTCGAGATAACAAAGTGGTAAGAAGACCAAGATTTGAGATGCAACAACTGTTAGGTAACCACAGAAATAACACATAAGATTACACACAATCAATTATAATATGGGTCATGCTAACATGTGTCATAAGATATAATAATTTTTTTTTAAATATAATTAAATATAATAAAATCATATTTAAAATTTCAAAACATTGAATACACGCATTTCAAAAAAATATTTATATAGAAAACTTATTAACTTTTGTGACACATATTAACTTTTTCTTTATAGTATTTATATTTAATTAAAAATTAAAACAAATAATTTCTCTTTCCTCCATTAACACAACCAACCATTCTATGATAACAATTAAAAAATAAACTAAATTTTAAACAAATTAAAAAAATTCTCACTTCTTATTAGTTATTTCTAAAAAAATAAATAAATTTATGTCCGCTTCTCTGAGGTAATGCTCAGCCAGAAGAGGATAATGAAGGTGATATTTTGACATAGCATGCTGATTTGCATTGCATCACTCCAGCAAAGGATGCAGTTACGTTCGTCTCTCGTAACTCCTCAACCGTCTACTCTTTTTTCTTTATTTTTCTTCAATTGACCAAGATGGTAGTTATTGCCTTTGAATTCAACTCCAACTTCACTGCTTCTTCTTCTTTCCACTATGCTGCCAATTCCTTCTCTTCCAGACCCTTTTTCGTCTCTCATGCTCCGAAGCTCAATTTTAGTCCAGTTATTGTTTCAATCAAGTATGCTTCTAATTCTGACCATCTTCTGCATAAGGAATTGGAATTTAAACCTTCCTTTGATGAATATTTGAAGGCTATGGAATCTGCCAAATCTGTTAGGGTTAGCGAGACAGCGAAAAAGGGATATGAAGGAAATCCTGTTAGAAATTTTAAAAGAATTGGAACCAAAATTGATAAGAAAGATGATGAAGGCTCTTCCACAGGTAATGGTAATGCTAGAGGAAAACCTAATAAAGGGTTTAGGGATGAGAGGAATCAGCACCGGAGTCGTAGTTTAGAGCCAAGATCTGATGACTGCGGTTTGATTAAGAGTCAAGGGGAAATTATAGGCGACAACGTAATTAGGGCTAATTTCAATGGCGTCCATGGTGGGAGTGTTACTAGAAGAGAAAGAGATCACAGTAGAAAGGGTAAAACCCTTAGTGGTGATAATTTTGTAGATAGAAAAGAAGCTATGGATACAAGTCCTGGTAACAGATATGGTGAAATTCAGAGTTTGACCAATACAAATGGACGGTCTAATGGAAACACTAAGCGTTTTCATAATAGAGGTCATGAATCTGATAACTTGGAGGTGGATCGAGCAGCATTTAAGAATCTTGAGGACCCAACCAATGTTGTCACTAAGGCTCACTTTTCGCATAAAGAAATGGAAGACAGAATTCAGAAGCTAGCCAAACAGTATGTAATTTATTCCTTCTTTCATGCTTTTCTCAGCAATTTTTATTAAAATGCTACCTTAGGGAACAATTGATGCAATCTACAAATTATGCTTAGTATGCCTCAATAATACTTGATCTGAGCTCTATCATTGCTTGCCTTCATATTCATTTTCTGTTTTTTATGCAAATTTATTCTTCTAGAACCTTCTTCACATTGCACTTTATTACTTTGGTTTTCCATATAAATTGTACTATTGTAGTTGAATCGGTTAGGCCTTTGCCTCGGCTGCTATTTATTTTGAAGTTCATTTTGCATTAAATGTGACTTGTAAGATGGTGATCATTGGATTTATAATCCTTAGAGTTCACTTCTAACATAAATTTTGTTATGTATAGCTTGTGTTTTTGAATAATTCTCAAACTGGTTCAGACTTGTTATTTGTGAACCTTTCACTGCCTACTATTATCCTATTCATGAGAGCTTTGTGATAAAGCATTATTTGTCTCTGCATCTCTGATACTGTCAGCACTTAATTAAAGTAGTGAGAAAAAGAATGCAAAAGAAGTTGTATATTTCATATGGGAAGGATACCAAAAGAAGTTGAATATTGCCTCATGAATATTTAGTTTAAGATATTGTATTTGTATTTTGTAGTAAAGTTGGGTTCCACAGTTTTTTTTCTTCAATATCTGCGGGTTTCTTCCTTCTTGTTAAATTCCTTCTTCAACATTAGTATAGCTGAATAGATATTACAAACATCTTCTTGGTAGCCACTGTTTCACATGGGGAGTTTATTATTTCTTTTCTTTCCAGCAATAATTTTACAATCAAGGTGATTTTAGAATTTTTTTTATTACTATTTTATACATGGTGAAGTGTTCCTTGTCTTCTTGACCATTACTCGAACAGGCTGAATGGTGTAGATATCGATTTACCAGAATGGATGTTTTCTAAGATGATCAGAAGTGCAAAGCTCAAATTTAATGACTATTCTATACGAAGGCTTATCACAATCTTAGGAAATCTCGGAAACTGGCAGCGAGTGATACAAGTCATCGAATGGCTTCAAATGCGTGAGCGTTTCCAGTCCCATAAGCCCAGGTACTTGAATAGCCTGTTGTACTCTTAGTATGACTACCATCCGAATTGCAAGTGAATAGGCGCCTTTATTTATATTTATATAGATATGTAATATTTTAAAGTAATTTTAATCAACTCTACATTGAACTATCAGGTTTTTCTCGAGCTAAATATAGATTTAAAAAACTAGACATGTGTGATCAAAAGGTGGAATTCTTATTGTTTGAGAACTGTATAATATTTTGATTTTTACATATAAAACTACATTTGATTGATATGCAATTTTGTATGTATATTATCAATGTAGTAGTAGGTTCCGGTCCCAAAATTTATTCTATAATGTTATTCGTCGGTGTAAGATTGATTTTTCAGAAACCTAATGGAACCTTTTAACATCTAAAGTCTTATTGCTTTCTAGTGAATGGGCTTTTTCCTTTTTTTTTTGTTTTGTTTCAAGCAGCCGTTAATATGCTACTTACTGACATTAGGCATGTATACAATGCTGCACTTGACGCACTTGGGAAGTTGAGGAGACCTGTGGAAGCACTGAATCTATTTCATGCAATGCAGGCAATGCTTTTATCAGTACAATATGCTCAATTTTAGTAAGCTATATGTTAAAATAACTTGACATAGAAATGCAGACAACTTGACTGACACTTTCCTTCTCCTTCCAGCAACAAATGTCCACATATCCTGACTTAGTAGCTTATCATAGTATTGCTGTTACTCTTGGGCAAGCAGGGCACATGAAACAGCTCTTTGATGTGATTGATATTATGCGATCTCCACCAAAGAAGAAGTTCAACAAAGGGATATTTGAGAACTGGGACCCAAGGCTGGAACCCGATATCATAGTTTATAATGCAGTAAGTTGTTAGAAAGGAACTTGGTTTTAGATGTTTCAAGAGATAGTTGTTCCACACCATGTCTTTGGAGTTGGAGGCTACTTCTAGATTGAAATGGATGGGTTTGGGGCCAGACATTTCAGCTTTCTGAATGCACAGGTTAAAGTCCAAGAATAGATATTTTAACAACAGGAAAAACCATTTTCATGCAGCTAATCCTTGACTGGTCTCAAAATTAAGGCAATGTTTGGAAGTTTGGAGGGGAGGGGAACAAAGGGCTTCGAAAAATGATTTTTTAAAAAAATAAAAATAAAAATCGTTAGCATTTTTTGAAAATGTTTTTTAGAATGGTTAAAGAGTGATTATCATTAGCATATTTTTAATTTTTGGAATATTATAACATAAATTATATTTGAACAACTTGTCTAAACCCTCCAAAATCCTCTAAACCCCTCATCCAATACAATTTTTTATTTCTCCCAAATTAGGGGGATTTTTGTTTTTAATGAAAATAAATTCTCCAAAACCCTCCCATCTAAATCATTCTATTCTTTTCACTCAATCCTTCTCTTTTTTCAAAGCCCTTCCTTCCTCCCCCCCTCCAAACTCCCAAACAAAGCCTAATGCTATTTATGATCAATTAAAAGATTTTGATTATCAACCATCTTCTCGTAAATGTTTTCATGAGTGACTTTTGGTATCCAAAGTTGCTTAAAAGGCATCATTCTTGGACACTTTATGGGCAGGGTATAGGGTTTAGTCTTTCTACAACTAGTTTTGTTAAAATTTTATCTATACTATTGTGGGAAGGGTCTCCCTTACCCTGTGTTGGTTGAATAATTACTTTCCTTCTCTGTTCCAGGTTCTAATTGAAAATAGGTTTATTTTTTCCTTGTAAAAAATACCTTTTGAAGTTGCTCAGTTTCACAATTAAGGCCTGATTTTATATTTTATATATCAATTGCATTTGCAGGTCCTTAATGCATGCATTAAGGGTAAACAGTGGGAAGGAGCATTTTGGGTGTTACAGCAGTTAAAGAAGCAGAACATACAACCTTCTGCTGCAACATACGGCCTAGTTATGGAGGTAGTAGTTGCCTCTAGTGTTTTAATGATTTACATTTGTATATTTTGAATGGCTCCTGATATATAGCAAAATATTTTAATCACTATGAGAATATAAAGATTCTATTATAAATTATGAGTACATAGAGTAGGAGACAATACTTTCAAAAACAGCAGATCACAAAGCAAACAAGAGAAAATATTAATCAACTAAAATAGTTAATTAACTCAAAAGAGTTACTTAACTCGAAAGAATTACTAAATTTTGCTTTAAGAAAAAACAAAAAAAAAGGAGAGAATAGTACAGCCCACTTATCTTTGAGATCTATATAAGATTTAGGACAATGTTTCTACTCTGGTTGAGTCAAATTATATTAAAACGGGAAAACACTGATTCCAAGGAAGAACAGGAAAACTACAAAATGCAGTTGCATCTATGAATGAATGTTGATATAATTCACAAATTTGTGTAATACTTGAACAGGTGATGTTTTCATGTGGCAAGTACAACTTGGTTCATGATTTTTTTAGAAAACTTCAGAAATCTTCAATTCCTAATCCATTGACATACAGAGGTATTCTCATTTATTTTGACATACATGTGAATCACCTAATGACATCACGTGATTGTTATCTTGATCTTCTCCTGTTATGTGCAGTTCTTGTGAATACATTTTGGAAAGAGGGAAAAATTGATGAGGCTGTATCGTCTGTGAATGAAATGGAAAGACGTGGAATCGTTGGTTCTGCTTCTCTTTACTATGATCTAGCTAGATGCCTCTGTGCAGCTGGAAGAAGTCAAGAGGCACTGATGCAGGTGGTTTTTGTTACTACTATTTTTTTCTCAGTTGCTTTTCTGAAAGAGTGGGGAAGGAAGGGGGTAGATATACTAACATCCATGTCATTTTCATTTGTTATTAGTTCATTAATAGCTGGATGATGTATAATTAAAATTGCAACAAGGCCTAGTAACACAACACCAACCTAAAGTCGGAACTTAAGAAATATTAAAATAAGAAAACATCCAAAAGGTGAAACAGCAGTACTATGACAAAATAGGACCTGTTCACTTCGTGAAAACATTTTCAATTTTACTTTTTTCAAAATTTATGTTAGCTTTACTTGTTAATAAGGAGAAAATAGAATCTTATAGTGATTTATTTCCGGAAACAATGAAAAGTCAAAAGATCTATTTTCATTATTTCCTTAAAATAAAGCATCCCTAGCTTGTATTTTATCTTCTGTCCACCACAATGATTCACTTGAAGAGTCTCATTTTTTTATCAGAAAGTTAACACATTCTAGAAAATGAAAACAAAAATTATTTTCACAAAGTCAACAGGGCCCTTGAGCAATTCAAATTAATACTTGATCTTTTCCACTTTTTATTGAAAACTCTTTAAGTAGGTCCCTACAAGTTACACGTGTCATTACATTGATGCTAAAAAATTCTTGACCTAATTTGTGACGATGTATTTTAAGACTAATAAGGTCATATGGCTGAGGCATTCATATGTGAGGGAGTTATATACTGTTAGGGGTAAGGGGTGGTTTGGGAAATATGGTCATTCCTGATTTGCATTGAAGAGTATTGAAATATGAGAAGCTAAGAGATATTTGATAAACCGTATGGTTGAATAGTATTACGGAAATTGCATTATATATGGAATTATACAGCTTATTGCATTAATTACAAATGGAAATATCCTATTCTATTTTAGAATGTACTAAGGAATATTCTATAGAATATTCTCTTTCTCTCTCTCTCTATACAAATATCATCACTCCCCCTCAAGTTTGAGCATATAAGTCAAATGCACCAAGCTTGCCACATATATAGTTAGTTCTGAGATTTCGCAGAGATTTTGTAAACACATCTGCCAATTGATCATTAGAGTTGACAAATTTTGTGACGATGTCACCTGATTCAATCTTCTCTCTGACAAAGTGACAATCTATCTCAATATGTTTGGTCCTCTCATGGAAGGTTGGATTTGAAGCAATGTGCAACGCAACTAGATTATCACACATAAGTGTCATTGGTCTTACTTCTTCAATTTGAAGTTCCTTGAGTAACTGTTTTAACCAAATAAGTTTACAGGTTGTCATTGCCATGACCTTATACTCTGCCTCGACGCTTGATCTTGCAACTACGTTTTGTTTCTTACTTTTCCTAGATATAAGGTTTCCTCTAACAAGTACACAATACTCAGAGATGGATCGCCTATCAATGGGTGATCTTGCCCAATCAGCAATCGAAGTATCCAACTATCTGAGTATGTCCTTATCTTCATACACAAGACCTTTTCTTGGAGAACATTTGATGTATCTCAAAATCCGGATAACAACATCCATGTGTTTTTGACAAGGGGAATTTAAGAATTGACTTACCACACCGACTGCAAAAGAAATATATGGACGGGTAAGTGAGATAATTCAACTTTCCAACCAATCTCATATATCTTCCCGGGTCAGATAGAGGCTCCCCTTGATTGGATAGGAGTTTGACACTTGGATCTGTAATACAGTGGGAGAACTGACTTGGTTGTTTTGCGTTTCATCGCAATTGTTGCGGATAGCAAGAGTCGCCACTGACTTTTATTTTATCCAACAAAGGAAAGGGTGAAAAGAACAAGAAAGACCTTTAGAGATGTTTTCTTAGAGATGTTGGAGTAACTAGGTTTGTAGGATAACAAACCATGGTTTGGTTGAAAACGAAAACAAGTTTGATCCCTTTTCGTTGTTCCCAAGTTTTAAGTACAAGTAGGGGCCTGATGTCTGTTGGGGGCAGGAGGTTGGACTTATGCTTTTGGCACTGCTTGTGTTCAGATAAAATCAGGTTGGGAGCTAACTTTGAGATTAAAGTACTCTTTATGAAAAAAGGATACGTAACTTTTTGTCATTTCATCCAAGAATGGTATTATCTAGTGGATAAAATTTCGAATCTTTGTGTAATGTATCACAAACTTGTGTAAGCCTCTGATCATGTAAAGATTTGGAAGCAACATAGCCTGACAAGTGAGATTTGGAGGATAAGGCTATAAGATTTGATCAATGTTCTTCAGCTAAGCTTGCTCGAAGGATTCAGAGTTGGATTCGAAGTATGTTGCTTCGAAGGAAACCCAAACTCCAATCGAAGCTTTGTAAGAAGGTAATCCTTGTCCAATCGAAGTTTGCCTGCAGGAGGTCACTGTTTTGTGACTCCAAGCAAGCATACAAGAGGCCATTGCTCAAACGAAGGTTTGCATGAAGAGCCAATGTCCAATCGAAAGCTGCATGCAGGAGGTCACTGCTTTGTGACTCCAAGCAAGCATACAGGAGGCCATTGTTCAAATGAAGGTTTGCATGAAGAGCCAATGTCCAATCGAAAGCTGCATGCAGGAGGCTTCTGCTTTGTGAATCAAGGCAAACATATAAGGGACCAATGGTGTAATCGAAGCTTGCATGCAGGAGGTCCATGCTTTGAATCAAAGGAAGCCTTCAGAAGGCCATTGCCTTCTGAATCGAAGGAAGTTTTCAGAGGGTCATTGCCTTCATAATCGAAAGAAGCCAGTAGGAAGCCACTAACTTCTGAATCGAAGGACACCAACAGGAAGCCCTTGTCTTCTGAATCGAAGGAAGCTGTTTCAAAGGAAAACAATGCCCAGTCGAAGCTAGCATGAAGATGACCATTTGTTCAATCGAAGCTTGTATGAAGCAAGCATGCAAGACGCCATTGCCTCAATCGAAGCCTGGGAATTTGAGGTAAGTTTGAAAGAGGCCAAATGTCCAATCGAAAGCTGGTGAATCAAGCTTGCATCGAAGGAGGCCATTTGCCAGATTTTGAATTCGAACTGTTCTCTGCAGTCACTCCTTTCGATCTGCTTTGTACTTATGCAAACTTGAGCTTTTGAAAATCTTCGTGAGAAATATCTTGAGAAATTGAGAGGGTAAATTTTGGGGTACAACAGGATTCATAGGAGTATCAACCGATTTAGCACTCAACAATCCAGTTTCTTCCAAATTATCCATAGCATATTTCTGTTGGAAAATTACTAGACCATCTTTAGATTGGGCCACCTCAATACCCAAGAAATATCAGAGTTTACCAAGATCTTTTGTCTGAAATTGGTTCGAGAGATGTTGTTTCAACAAGAGTATTCCCTGCTGATCACTATCAGTTATGACAATATCATAAACTTATACAATAAGATATATACACCATTGAGCTGAGTGACGATAAAAAATAGAATGGTCAGTTTCGCTACGGACCATAACAAACTGTGTTGAATCTACCAAACCAAGCTCTCGGAAATTGCTTAAGACCATAAATAGACTTGTGTAGCCTACAAACCATATTCGATGACTCCCTATGAGCAACAAACCCAGGTGGTTGCTCCATATATACTTCCTCTTCAAGATCACCATGTAAAAGGCATTTTTTATGTCAAGTTAATGAAGAGCCCAATATGAATGACTGCAATAGCTAGAAGAAGTCTAACAAATGTCATCTTGGCTACAGGCAAGAAGTTATCACTATAATCCAAACCCTAAAATCTGAGTGTATCCTTTGGCTACCAAGCGAGCTTTAAAACGATCAATCTTTCCATCTGGACGAACCTTCACTGTATAAAAGCCAACGACAACCGACTAAAGATTTCCCAGGGGGTAGAGGAACCAGCTCCCAGGTGCCACTACTTTGAAGAGCGTACATTTCATCAATCATTGTTTGTCTCCACTCACGGTGAGTTAATGCTTCACTTGGAGTTTTAGGAATAAAAACATAAGACAAAGAAGACAAACAAGTATACTGCAAAGGGGAAAGACGATGATAACATAAATCAATATAATGTGGAGAAAGATTTCGTGTTTGACATATCTTTTCGAAGGGAAATTGGAAGATCGAACTCAGGCTGCAAGATCAGATCCGTTGATGGCGAATGCGTCTGAGGAGAGTCTACAATGACCTTAGTGGGCCAGATTTCCTAGAATGATGAGGGGATAATGGCCAATGGGACTTCCGGAAGATGTGTGAGTAATTTCCTGAAGAGGTTATGGAGTCGCCTGTCTGGACTCGAAATAAGAAACAAACTCGAAGAAGGTAACATCAGCTGATATGAGGTATTGTTGTAAGTTATGTGAATAGCAACAATAACCCTTTTGGGATCGATGATAACCAAGAAAGACACACTTTAGTGAGCGAGCTGATAGTTTATCAAGTTCATGGGAGAGATTGTGTACAATGTAGATCCGAAGACTCGAGGAGGAATTGGGTGAAGGGGGGATTGTGGAAACATGATTAAATGAGGGATTTTATTACTAAGAAGCACAAATGAGGGCATGCGATTTATAAGGTAACATGTTTTGAGCATCGCATCTCCTCGAAATCGGAGAGGAACATTACCATGGAGAAGTAGGGTCCGAGTGGTTTCTACGAGATGCCGATTTTTGCATTCGACTACCCCGTTTTGTTGAGGTGTATGAGGGCAAGATGTTTGGTGCAGAATCCCATTAGATGACATAAAAGTTTGAAATGGTTGGGATAAATATTCACGTGCATTGTCACTTCTTAAGGTATGAATAAGCAAACCAAATTGGGTATTTATTTCTCGATAAAATTGTTCAAAAATAGAAAACAATTCAGATCTATTCATTAAAAATGGCCACGTGCAACGCGAAAAATCATCAATAAAGGTTATAAAATACCTAGACTCAAAAGTAGACACGGTACGCGAGGGACCCTAAACATCGGAGTGACCTAAAAGCAAAGGAGGACGCAACCTGTTTATTGACTTGATCGGGAAAGTCACTACGAGTATGTTTCCCTAATTGACAAGACTCACAATGTAAAGTGAATAATTTAAATAAACTTGGCACTAATTTTTGTAGTTTGGGAAGACCTGGATGACCTAATTGCACATGTATAATGAGTGGAGAATTTGTGGTTGAGCACGTAGTGGATGACGCAGAGAAGTAGTAGAGGACTTAAGATTCACATCCGATGCCAATCGTCCGTCCCGAACTCTGATTCTGCAAGGTAACATTACCAGTAATATGACCAGACGCACCAAAATCAAGGATCCAAGGACTAAGAGAAGATGATTGAGATAAGCAAACATAATTACCAGTGTGTGCAACCGGATCCGTGGAACCAGAGTTCTGATTTGTTTGACACCACCTGAGAAAATCATCTTAGCTGGGAATAGAGCTCTGAAGAGAAGGTGAGATATGCTGAGTGTCTGAATGATCAATTTGAGCTTCATTCACCTGACGTTGTGGTTTTCCATGTAACTTCCAACAACGGTCAATAATATGCCTAAGTCAGTTACAATGGTCAAATTTGGGACAAGGTTTGGAGTTGGATGACCCTCCTTGAAAGCGATTTTGATTGTTGCCAAGGGATGCAAGGGCAACAGTGTCACCTGGGGTCAGGGCAACAGAAGATGGAGGGAAGACCGGGCCAAAGGCATGAGGTGTAGCCAAACGCAACAGTTGTTCACTAACTGCGTCATAGTTAGGAACATTAGTATCTGATAAAATCTGGTTACGAACAGACTCGAGTTCTGGCGGTAGTCCTTTAAGTGCCATGATCATGAAAATTTTACTCTGTTGTTCAGCATGAGCTGTTGCATCTTTGTTTAGGGCAATTAAGGTTGCGTAGCTTGCTTTCAAGGCACCAAGCTTACTCAAATAAGCTTGCATATCCATATTCTCCAACTTCAGAGAGTTGAGTTTGAGGATGACACTATAGAGACAATGAACATCGTTAGAGAAGACTTTCTTAGTCTTTTCTCAGACCTCATAGCAAGTGCTGAAGGCTTGATACTGTGCTTGGAGATTAGGTGCGATGAAACACCATAACATGGTGAATAAAGAGGCATAAATTTGTTTCCATTTAACGAGTTTGTCGGGGCAATAATATCCAATTTTGTGGTTAGGTGATCTTCAAATCCTTGACCATGATACCACATCTTGACAGCACCTGCGCAAATGTTGTAGTTGGTTGACCCCGTTAGTTTTTCACATGAGATAAGCGGAACTTTGGTAAATAATTCTCCCACAGCTTGACAATAAAAACATATTTTTCAGTGACCAAAAATATCGGTAGGCAGATCTGGAACTTAACGAAAAACCAAGTAAGGTGGTGAAGTGACGAAAGCGGAATATCACACGAACCGGAGAAAACTGAGGCTGTTTGAACTGTAGAACGACTTTCCATGAGTCGAAAGAGAAAACTGAGGGCGGATCTGAAACCAGGGGGAGGAGGCGATTGTCGTGGTGAAAACGGCACCGGAAAAGGACGTCGGACATGCGGTGAAGAGCGGCTGCGCGTAAGGGCACATGGCTGGCTTTCTGGTGGCGATTTTTCGGGGTCAGCCCGGATCAGAGGCGGCGAATCCTCTAGTGTGGTTAGTTCACCGAAATGCCGACATGAGCAGTAGTGGCGGCGGTCGCCAATTTTTTTTTTGAAAAGTGAGTCAAATCGGAGTGTTGACACAATTTGAAAAAGAAAATTTCTTACCGGAAGACAGTGGGTCAACCGGGTAACGTACGGTGAAAATTTATCTCTTAGTAGGCTCTCGATACCATATTGAAATATGAGAAGTTAAGAGATATTTGATAAACCGTATGACTGAATAGCATCACGGGAATTGCATTATATAAGAAGTTATACAACTTATTGGATTAATTACAAATGAAAATATTCTATTTAATTCTAAAATGTACTAAGTAATATTTTATAGATTACACACATATATACAAGCTTATTTGAGTATCAAGCCTTGGAAAAGATATACAAGTCATCCAAAAAATATGGCCAGGATCTACAATGTCCACATTAGCTCTTAAGCATGTACTTCTTAAATGGTGAAGTATCCGCACCGGGTACATATCTATATCGGGTACACATATCCATATCGGGTACACATACCATATTTATGGTACTTGATTTTTTCTCACTATTCTGTTTAGAGTGAAATTTGTAGTTTTTTCATATATTAATATAAGATATTATACCATCCGGACACATTTATAAGCAACAATTATTTTTTTTTAGATTTATTGAATAATTGATGTATCTGGTATAAAATAACGTCTAGATATATCATTTATTCAATGAATCTAAAAAGTTTTTTTTGTTGCTTATAAATATGTCCAGAGGATATATGTATTTTAGTTTCTTTGTTATTGTATCTTAATATGATTTTCTGACTTATTAAATTTCTACTTTGATATTTTGTTTTAAGCTGAACAATTATTTTTCTTTGGTGAGCGTAAGAGATAATCATGAAAAAGTTATATTAGTAGCGCATTAATTCTTCAATATTTATTACTCCCCGTTCATAATAATTGACCGACTATGATTTCATTTATACTAAGAAAAATGTATGAATGAAAAGAGAAAATAGTATATTTACTAAGGATGTGTTTGGATTGGCGGTGGACAGAATTGATTCTAGTAGAATTGAGTTTTGTAGAATTGATTCTATCAAAATTGAGTTTAGCATAATTGATTTATGTTTGGATACATTTATGTAAAAGTGAGTTGAACAATAAATTTCAGTGTAAAAATTACCTAGAATCAATTATTTTGGCAGAAGCTACAAATTCTAGCTTCAAGTAGAATCAATTCTAGAGACAGAATCAATTCTACTTTTGTCTAACCAAACATCTTAAAATCACCTAGAATCAATTCTACATCTCTAGGATTGCTTTTGATCCTTCCAAAAACCAAACCAAACATGCACTAAATTATTCTTATCAACGGTAAGGTTGTTCCATTGCAACCCTGGGGCCATGGGTTCGAACCTCGTGCACTGGGTTATCCTTTATTGGTGTATTACTATTTACTATTACCATAAATGTAAAATGGTAGATATTTGAGGCACAATTAGAACAAAATAATTAATTAATATTACATTAAAAATTGAAAAAGCCATTCATTTTAGGACAATTTTTTTTTGTTACAAATATATTGGTTATTGTGGGACGGATGGAATAACAATTATGCAATGATTGTAAAAAATGGGTTGCCAACTAGCAATTGATGAAATACAACATAGGATAAAGTGCACCATTACTCCTCCTAACTTAGTAGTATATATCTGTGGCTTATGTGATTCTTCCACTTTATTTATATCAATTAACAACAACATGAATTGTTAGTGTCACGGCCTCAGTATCTGTGTTTCAGGGGAGTGTGATGGATCTGATGATAACTTCAGTTGAGATAAGTTGATTGGACCAATGTTATTTTCGTTAAAGAGAAGTGCCGTGGTCATTATAAACAATAAGTCAATTTTAGTGTACTAGGGTATTTGTAGAATTTAAAAGGCCTGCCACTTATTACATTGCTCATCTTTTGACAGATAGACAAGATATGTAAAGTTGCAAGTAAACCCCTGGTAGTGACCTACACTGGCTTGATGCAAGCAAGCCTAGACTCTGGGAATATTCAAGATGGAGCTTACATTTTTGAGAAAATGAAGGAAAGTTGTGCTCCAAATTTGGTTTCTTACAACATAATGCTTAAAGCTTACGTTAAACATGGGATGTTTCAAGAAGCTAAAGAGTTATTTGAGCGAATGTTGGTAAACACGAATAATCTGAGTAATAAAGATGATTACAAAATGCGAGTGATACCGGATATATACACATTCAATACCATGTTAGATGCATGTGCTGCAGAGAAAAAATGGGATTATTTTGACTATGTTTACCCGAGGATGTTGTACCATGGTTATCACTTCAATCCAAAACGGCATCTTCGAATGATACTAGAGGCTTCAAGAGCTGGAAAGGTGACTTTTCGATCGCTCTTTCTCCATATTCATTGATTTTATGACATGCTGATAACCTTACTTTAGGGCATATGTTAGTTTGGGATTTATCCTTAATAAGGGAAGAGTAAATATAAAAAAAAGTCTTGCTTAAGCATATAGAGGATGAAAACAAAAATGGCATTTTCTTGCTATCCACTTCAATTTTTTTGCCTGTCAATGTTAATTGTAATGAGGTTTATTGACAGCAAAAATGATTATAAGAATCTAAACTTTATGTTTTGAGTTACTCTTTTTTATGATATCCAAATTTACTTGCATGTTTAGTTTGTGCTGCTGCCTAGTATTAGTATGGATATGTCATGTTTGATATATCGTGGCATTATCCTTGTATCTATTGTATTTACACTTTTGAATTGAATTGTTCCACTATGCTGTTATAAAATCTTAGCGATTACTTTATCCTTCTTGATAGAGACTAATTAATAAATAATAGATGTCAAAATTTATCAGGAAATTTGAGATCATTTCATTGACAAGTGGAATCTTGCTTTGTTTTCAGGAAGAGCCATTAGAGATAACATGGAAGCACTTGGCTGCTACAGATAGAACTCCACCAGTTTCTCTAATCAAGGAGAGGTTTTGTACAAAACTTGAGAAGGATGATTATGTTGTTGCTCTCAAATGCATCACGAGTAACACACCAAAAGACTTGCAACCATTTTCGAAGTTGTTATGGTTGAATCTATTCAAAGAAAACTCTCAACGCTTTCACAAGGATACACTTGTTCGACTAATGAATGCGGCTAGCAATGTAATTTCCAATAATAGCGTGCCAAATCCAGCGCTTGTGTGTTTAGTTCAATCATGCAAAGAATTATGTTTTGACACTCATCAGAATGTAGCTTACATGGATTCTGCAAGCAATGTATTTGCATTAGAAAACAAACGGGTAGTAACCAACTCTAGGTGAACATTTGTATCCTAGATTTTATAATATAAACTCATCCATAAATGTAATGAAAGCCTTTTTATTAAAGGATTAATAAATATGTTTTTGATCCTCATAAATATAGTGATTTTCATTTTTAATCCCTCTAAAAATTTTCTTTAAAAAATGGTCTCTTTAAAATTTTTCATCCATGTAATTGGTCCCTGACGTTAAATGGAATTAATGGAACAGGTGAATTAAAATGTTAAATTTTTTGAAAAAAAATTGAAAAATGCATTAGATTAAGGAGGTTACAGACCTCCTCTAAACAAACCCAGAAAATTCCCAAATATCTCATTGCTCTACATCATTTTTATCACATGAAGAACAATACTCCACATCATTGCTTCTTGAATTTGTCTATGCCGCTCTTTCTTTACAACCATACCTTAAAATAGCTATAAGCTCTTCATTGGTATTAAACTAAAAACACTTTTAATGCTAAGAGCCAATATTCCTTCTTGCCATTCACAAATATTAAACGAAATTAATTTGTTTAATTTGCAATTACAGGTTGAGGTTATCTAAAATGTTTTTAATAGTCTCTTTTGGCTACAACGATCTCTTAACTACAGTAAAAAGTTGTCCTTTGTCACAATAGAACGTAAAGATTTTTATTTTCATTTCGATTTTTGTAGTTTCCTTTAGAGCATTTAAAGCTTACCGACTAATAAAAGATTATATTTTTAACTTTAATTTCAGCTGCTGTCTACTACAGTAAAAAGTTGACTTTTCATTTTCTCATGTGTATGGTTTTCTGCATGTGAAGACCAATAAAATTGAGTAACATAAGTTCCATAAAAGAGTTTTTAATATTGAGCTAAATGAGTTTGTTTCTATGGTAAAAAGTATGATATAATCTAACAATATTGAGTAACAGCAACACACATGAAATATATATTAACAGAAAAAATGCATGGAGAAACATGAAACAGAAGAAAGTAAAGATAAGAAAGAGAAGAAGATGAAACCTGACAAAGTTGCCATCAGTTTGAAAGTGCTTCATCAGACTTAGAACCTAACTTCATGAAAGAGAGAAAGCGTGTTAATAAATGGATGGCACCAACAACAGCGAATTTGGAGCGGAGATGAAGAGGGGAGCAGTCGCTCATAAAGCGTTTGATAAAAGTTCACATCCAAGTTCTTTTTTTTCCTAGGTTTCCTTAGATGAGATTTCAAACCCCAAGTTTTTTCATATTTTTGTCTACGTATCTTCCATATGGTTTGCCATGTCATTTAAGGTTAAAAACCAATTATATGAATGGAAAATTTTAAAAGAACTATTTTTTAAAAGAAATTTTTAGAGGAACTAAAAATAAAAACGCTTATTAAGACTAAAAATATATTTATTCTTTATTAAATGCCACTTCTCTTAATAATGAGTTATTTTTATCACATTCACAAACACTTTGAACATATGTACCAAGTGTGAGTTCAAACATCTTTCTATCCTATTTATTCACTTTTAAAATGTGAATTTCAGTCACTAAAATACTTGAAAAAAGAGAGAGAAAAAAGCAGGGTCTAGGTTGCTATAATATTACTTATTTCCATATTTAAAATTTGAAGAAATATCTATACCCAAACTCCTACATGTGTGGATTAGCAACGTCAATACTGCCCATACCCACAACTTCAGCACCTTAACCGGTACTTATAACTGTGATCCATATTTTAGAGAGATTTTTTATTTCATTCTCATGTTTTTCTAACACGTGAAATTTTAAAAATATTCTTAAAAACTAAAAATATATTTCTGATTTGTACTTTCATATATATAATTCATTTGTTTTGAAATTCGCTCTAATATACTTGATCTCTAATTGATATATGTATATTGTTTATTTCGGTCTGTTTTATTTTCTTAATTTATAATTTAATTTCATTAATGCTATGTTCATTTAACTGTTAACGTTTAAATTTTAATGTATTTTATTTGTTTTAATATATATATATATATATATATATATATATATATATATATATATATATATATATATATATATATATATATATATATATATATATATATATATATATATATATATATATATATAAAGAGTGGTTCATTCACGTAAGTTCTAACATTATCTCACCTTGCCATCATGCTGCAATTTGAAATTTGTTCCTTTTGCTCTAAAATAATATTTGTCGCCACCGGACCACCATTTGTGTGAGTATAGAAAGCAGCAGATAAAAAAAAGAAAACCGAAATATACTTCTAATTTAGAGTAAAAGTGTATTTTCGTTTGTGTAAGTATAACTTAAAAAAAATATATATTAAAAATACATTTTTGATTTACGAGCGAAAATTTTAAAATTATAAAGATTTTTTTAGTATAAGAAATTTCCTATTTTAATTATATACAAAAGCTTTTTTGTGGTCCTTTATAGTTTTTATTATTTATTTTACTATTTTTTTTCTTTCTATTTAGCTTTTAAAATGCGTACAAACAAAACTTTTCATTTTCCATTAAAAAGTATTGATGATGTTACAAACCAAATTTGATGTTTATGTTACAAACCAAACATTTCCATCTTTTCCATTTTTCATTAAAAAGATTGGTGTTTATGTTACAAACCAAATAACTATGTTGATTCAAATATGGTCAAACAATACTCTACTTGTCCGCGTGTGTAAGGCTGCTCAAAAATAGCGCCGAATCGTATTAAATCGCTGAATCGAATCGAATTGAAGTTAAAATAACTTAATCATTATAAATGTTTAGTGAATCAAATTTATATTTTACTATTGAACCGTTGAATCGAACCGAAATAAAGTTAAAATAATTGAATTTATATTTAAAATCAAAATTTTAAAATTTTCGAAAATCAAAAAGTCGATATTTTTGAAAAATAAAAAAAGTCAATTTTTTTCGAAAATAAAAGTTTTTTTTTTCGAAAATCAAAAAGTCAATTTTTAAAAAAAATCAAAACGTTGGTTTTCTCGAAACTAAAAAAGTCGATTTTTCGAAAATCAAAAAGTCGATTTTTTTGAAAATAAAAAAAATCAATTTTTCGAATATCAAATAAGTCCCTTTTTCCAAAAAAAATAAATATCGATTTTTGTGAAAATCAAAAAGTCGATTTTTTCGAAAATCAAAAAGTCCATTTTTTTGAAAATTAAAAAAGTCGCTTTTTTTGAAAATAAAAAAGTCGCTAATTTCGAAAATCAAAAAGTTGATTTTTTCAAAAATAGAAAAGTCGATTTTTTTTTAAAATAAAAAATTTGGTTTTTACGAAACTAAACAAGTCGATTTTTCGAAAATAAATAAAAAATCGATTTTTTCGAATATCTATAAGTCGTTTTTTCCAAAAATAAAAATTTTGATTTTTACGAAAATAAAAAAGTCGATTTTTTTGAAAAATAAAAAATAGTCTCTTTTTTTGAAAATCAAAATTTGAAAATCAAAAAGTTGATTTTTTTCAAAAATCAAAAAGTCGATTTTTTCGAAAAATAAAAAAGTAGATTTTTTCGAAAATCAAAAAGTCAATTTTTTCGAAAAATAAAAAAAACTGTTTATTTTGAAAATCAAAATGTCAATTTTTTCAAAAATAAAAAAAAAAGTCAATTTTTCAAAAATCAAAAGGTCGATTTTTTCAAAAAATTTAAAAAAAAATCGATTTTTCCAAAAATAAGAATGTCAATTTTTTTCGATTTCAAAAAGGTCAATTTTTTTCAAAAATAAAAAACCCGATTTTTTCTAAGATCAAAAAGTCAATTTTTTTGGAAATTCAAAATTCGATATTTTCCAAAAGTACAAAAAATCGACTTTTTCGAAAATCTAAAAAATAAATTTAAATAAGTTTTTTATTAAAAAAATCAAAATCAAATATAACGGTTTAGTTCTTTTAACAAATGATTCAGTTTATAATAAATTGACTTCTAATGGTTTGGTACGGTTCAAAATTCCGAACCGTTATACCAAACCAAAACTTTTGGTTCAGTTCGGTTCTAAAAAAATTGAAACAATTTAGTTCGGTTTGGATGAATATATATAATGGTTCGGTTCGGTTCAGTTCGGTTTTCTAACAGAATTGTACCATGAACAAACTTACGCGTATGTGAGATTTATATTTGATTTTTTTTTAAATAATCATTTAAAAAAAATATAATTCTCGAATAACTATATTTTCAAAAAAATTATCAAAATAACTACTTTTCAACTAATATGTCAAGAAATCTTGCCTCTTATTAGCAATGATCCATTATTAAAGGTGAGTACAATTATTTCTCACATCATTATAAGATTCAATTATACTTCCTCTTTTAGGAAGGCATGGATCGCGAGGACTAAGGCGGTTGAACTTGTCTACGGTAATTGGGAGGAATCGTACAAAGAACTTCCAAGATTTTTGGTGGCACTGAAATATTATGCTCTGGGAACTGTTATAATTTTGGAGACACACCTGGCATTTACCCCAGACAGAACTCGTGCCAGTGGAAATGAAATATTTCATCGATTGTTCTAAGCGTATGAACCATGCATCAAAGGCTTTGCATTTTGCAAACCTATTATACAGATTGATGGAACTTGGTTATACAGAAATTATAAGGAACATTATTCATGACAGTGACACAAGATGACAACAATAATTTTTTTCCGATTGCCTTCACTCTAGTTGAAGGTGAGACAATAACCCTGATAACGGTTGGCAAGATCTCCCTTCAACACATGTCTATTGCATTAGACATATCACACAAAACTTCATGCTCCATATCAAAGACAAGACACTTCGAAAGAAAGTTGTTAATGTAGGGTATGCCTTAACACAACCATCATTCCAACACTATCGCGAAGAAATCTGATTGACAAACTGAGAAGCGTTAAGGTGGATCGATAATATTCTAGTGGAGAAGTGGACTCGGGCATTTGACAATGGTCAACGATGGGGCCACATGACAACAAATTTGGTGGAATCATTGAAATCTGTCTTCAAAGGCATCTAAACCTACCAATTATTGTATTGGTTAGAGCAAC